TTTCATTACCTACAGCAGTAAGACGTGATGTAATCGTTAAAGAGAAGAACGGTCCCCGCCCGCTCTCATTCTAATACGTGTTTTGCAATCGCGGCACCGCCCGCAACGTGTCTACAGGCATTTAAAGTTCCCTGTTCAAATTTTAAATGTCTTTTTTTTAGCAACGAAGGAAACCGTTTTCTTTTCCTAAGATCAAAATACCCTCACATAAAGAGCCTTTACCAAATTTGGACACTTGACTGTACTAAACAGCTCGTTCTCACTGCATTCCCTCACATAATCGGACGCACGCAAAAAGGTTTCCCGATATCATCAGTTCAGCGCGCGGCTGGCATTCTGTATTGTCAGACCTCCCCGAAGTTTGTGTGCCCAGTTGAGGCCGCGTGCTTTTGGGCTGCCTGTTGTCCGGTCAGTGGTGTGTTGCAAACTAGACAGCGAAGGGAGAACTTGGACAAGTTTGTAAACTGACGTTTCTGCAAGGAAAAAATACATCATTCAGGGAATGGAAAAGAAAGGTGAAAAGCTTACATGTAAGTTGATTTAGGGGTAGACAACAGGAAATACGGGTGAATGTGAACGGTTGAACGTGTTCGAAAAATGTTGTAAAACACGATCCTGAGTGTTTTTCCAGAGCCATAAACGGGTGCGCATGTCATATAAAATGGAGTAAACTGCAAAACACTGCTCTTTTAGCGGTACTTTTGTTGTAACGGTTGGTACTTGAAAGTTGACCGGTCAAATTTTGAAGTGTCTCTAATCGTCCACGTTTAACTTAATTGTCACGAGGCTTTTGTTTAGTTTGTTTTAAATTAAAAATTAATTTATACGAATTGTAATACAGACGCTAGGACCTGTAGCTCTGCCGTTTGCACTGACTGTATTAGTCTGAATAGCTAACCTTCTTGGCCTCTGCAGCGATCTCAAGTGCTTCAGCAAGCCTCATATCATCTGTGACAGGGAACACAGTTTGTAATGGCTCAGCTGAATTATTAGAACTTGGAACAGCAACAGGGTCATAATGAATCCCATCATACACCAGATATACACAGTCTCTGTAACCACACCCTTCTCCTGTAATAAAGCAATAGAAAGAACTTTCCATTGGTTTACTAGCAGTACACAACCAAGCTGGGATGTACGGAGAAAAACAGAAATGTTTGTAATCAAAGGCTGAAGCAGATATTTTCACTTTGTTAAAGGATTATACAAACATTTCCCGCCTTGGGACAGATCATCTTTCAGAACTAATAGATCCGTGAAAGGTGTGCAAAAAGTACAGTACTAAGAAAAAACCAAGGAGAAAGAAGGGTTCCCTCTCTTCAAGTTCTTGGTTGTTTGCAATTATGTATCAAGGATTCCAATAATTATTTGACTCCTGGGAGAAGTACCAAATACAAACTGTAGCCAAATGAGCCAAGAGTAAAAAGCGTAGAATGCACCCCCTCAAATATGAACCACCAAACTTTCAAAACAGAATGATGTGAACCATTCGATTTGGATGGCCAATCAGAATATGTGATGATTACCCCATATAAATACAAGGTACTACTGGAGTCCTCTCCTACCCAGACCGTCTATACCTTGCATCTTACCATATCTATCAACTCTTCCTGACTCTGTATCAGCTACAGCAATTTCTGTTTGGTAATGTTTGCTAAGGATTGACAACTCAATAGCACCTGAGTATCATTTAAAAAATACGGAAATGTAAAAGGTTAATGCAGAAAAAAGACAAAAAAGTGAACTTTTTGAGTCTTAAAATACCTTAATGGTACTTAATCTGCTGCTCTTTAACTTCACAATTTTCGGGATTGCAAAAATAAAATAGCAAAAATAAATGCTCACAAAATTTAAGCCCTCACAATTACATTCTTATATACATGTAGGAAATTCAAATCAGAGAAAAAAAATTAACTTGAAATAGCTGTCATATACAGGATAAATACCAACAATATAACTTGTTAACTTGTTGTACTGGTAAGCTCTGTTTTGTATCTTCAATAAGTGCAGTTGCTTTCACATATTTCTTTTCCAGTTTGAAAACTTTCAGACTTTTTTTCAATGAAGTCAAGAAGGCTTAAATCACGAAATTTAATGCCCTTTTCTCATATTTGTGTGTTGAAATCAAGAAAATAAAACCCCACGAAATACTCTTAGCCAAAATCGCACAATTAAATAGCTGTGAAATTAAATACCAATGAAGTACTATAAGTAAAAATCTGCTACTTGTATACTGATAAATAACGTTTCGGAGACATCTAGCCTACTTACAACTAGTGGAGGGTTGTACAGTTTTAAATTATTTATGCAATATTTTGTGTTGTTTTAATGTTTAATTGCATAAGCATGCATGCAGCTAAAAATAGTATACAGAGATGTGTTAGAATACCTCCCCAGTGATCCTCATCCAGTATCCATTTACAGTACTCAGTGTTTTCTTGACCCAGAAAAACAGAATTGTACAATTGAGGATCACTTGAAACACACTTTGCTATCAGCTGTCTTAGCTCTGAGGCAAATGATGTCACACCAAGCATAACATAGCTAAAAGAAAATAGCATAAAGGTGTTGCTATGGAAATACAGTACTCCGCTATTTTAACCATTTCATGGTATCAAAGTTCTGCGCAATTTTCTTTGCATTTTTTGAAAAATTAACAATTCTGTGGAAACTGCAGTCATTCATGATTGAAGTTCAGAGTCAAAGTAGGAAATCAGTTATCTTTACATTTTAGGGCTTTAAGCTTGAATTAATTCTGAAAGTGCAGTTAAACAAACATAGCACTGTACCTTTCTTACCTAACACTTGCAAAAAGGCAGGAATTATCAGCTGGAACAACTCTATGTATGAAGGAAAAAAAGAACAATTAAACAGTACAACAAACAGACCATATATTGTACAAGTATGTGATGAAGGCAGAGTGCGGTTGAGTGGATACTTAGCAGAAATCTCAAGTTCAAATCCTCAGCCAGCCTGGTAAATAATCAACTGGTTTCCTACCTTTCAAAAAGAATGCTTATAGTATACCTGTTACGTTCCATTTAATACACAGTTTTAATCATTTGCTCCCCCAACCCCCAAAATATTATTTCACATTACCTAATTTCACAAAATAATTTCATACAAATTTTTGATAGCAGAAACAGTTCCAGTTATGTTAATTAAATTTTTGGATGCTTATTAATTTTGACCCACTTATGCTACTGAACAACACTGAACCTCCCTGCACTCAGCCATCTTGACTAGTTCCTTGTGATGTGCCCTAAATACTGTTGTGAACTGCAAATTATGATGGAAGTTCACAAAATGGATATAATAAAATAATAATTACTTTCTTGACATTTTTCCAAGTGCTGCACTGCTTAAAGATTTCTTGTAACCATCCAGTAATGGTTTTGGAGCATTTTTGTCCTCCTCAATTATTAACCTATCTCCAGATCTGACATCCACAGATGATATTACATCATCTTTATTCTTCCACATAAGCTGTTTTGGTGGAAATCCTGAAAGAACTATTTAAAACAGACAAGAAATGTAATTTATATATGACCAGCTGCTTTGTTTTGCCCTCTTAATGGTGGCAATAATTTTTGGTTTGATTTACATTTCGGAATTGTGCCTGTTGATAGGTGTTGATGGTAAAATTGCAAGTACCATGATTACTTGCGGGCTCATAAAGGATGCCGATGTGTTGCATACTTTGACTCTCTGAGTATTTATTGTTTCCACGATACAAAGATAATTTAACTTGAGCAAATCTATACTTTTTTATTCTGACGAGATGATCACGAGATGCTTAAATTGCACTACCCTGCCTATTTGGATCCAGGTGTGTAAGCTATGATAAAATATTCAAGCCTTTGTGATGTGGATTGAATTGTCTGAATTTGTGGTTAAATGTGTCCCATGTCAACTTTTTAAAGAAACTCATTACTTCTTTGCGCATGAGGTGGAACATCAGTCATCAGCCAGATCTTTTCTTGAAGGTCAGCAATGGTGGATGTTGTCAGCAATCCTTCAAGAATGTTTCTTCTCCCTCCTTTGTACTGACATCTCAATACCTTCAGGTTATAAAAAAGGTATGATATAAAAATTAATATGCATAAACTACAATAACAATAAAAATAATAACAATAATAACATACACTTCACAATATTGGTTGCCAACAAATAATAAGTAGGTCAACCCAATTCTATATCAGAGTCAACTATTAAGGCAGATTGAAATCAAGAGTTCATCTTCATGATTCAGCAATGATTTCCAAGTTAGTTCCCTTATGTTCTTTGCCCTCTTAACCTCATGTTTATTTGGACCCTTTTTCTTGCTTCTGGCTCAGTAGAGAATCACTGGAATGAATCATCTGTGACAGGGAACACAGTTTGTAATGGCTCAGCTGAATTATTAGAACTTGGAACAGCAACAGGGTCATAATGAATCCCATCATACACCAGATATACACAGTCTCTGTAACCACACCCTTCTCCTGTAATAAAGCAATAGAAAGAACTTTCCATTGGTTTACTAGCAGTACACAACCAAGCTGGGATGTACGGAGAAAAACAGAAATGTTTGTAATCAAAGGCTGAAGCAGATATTTTCACTTTGTTAAAGGATTATACAAACATTTCCCGCCTTGGGACAGATCATCTTTCAGAACTAATAGATCCGTGAAAGGTGTGCAAAAAGTACAGTACTAAGAAAAAACCAAGGAGAAAGAAGGGTTCCCTCTCTTCAAGTTCTTGGTTGTTTGCAATTATGTATCAAGGATTCCAATAATTATTTGACTCCTGGGAGAAGTACCAAATACAAACTGTAGCCAAATGAGCCAAGAGTAAAAAGCGTAGAATGCACCCCCTCAAATATGAACCACCAAACTTTCAAAACAGAATGATGTGAACCATTCGATTTGGATGGCCAATCAGAATATGTGATGATTACCCCATATAAATACAAGGTACTACTGGAGTCCTCTCCTACCCAGACCGTCTATACCTTGCATCTTACCATATCTATCAACTCTTCCTGACTCTGTATCAGCTACAGCAATTTCTGTTTGGTAATGTTTGCTAAGGATTGACAACTCAATAGCACCTGAGTATCATTTAAAAAATACGGAAATGTAAAAGGTTAATGCAGAAAAAAGACAAAAAAGTGAACTTTTTGAGTCTTAAAATACCTTAATGGTACTTAATCTGCTGCTCTTTAACTTCACAATTTTCGGGATTGCAAAAATAAAATAGCAAAAATAAATGCTCACAAAATTTAAGCCCTCACAATTACATTCTTATATACATGTAGGAAATTCAAATCAGAGAAAAAAAATTAACTTGAAATAGCTGTCATATACAGGATAAATACCAACAATATAACTTGTTAACTTGTTGTACTGGTAAGCTCTGTTTTGTATCTTCAATAAGTGCAGTTGCTTTCACATATTTCTTTTCCAGTTTGAAAACTTTCAGACTTTTTTTCAATGAAGTCAAGAAGGCTTAAATCACGAAATTTAATGCCCTTTTCTCATATTTGTGTGTTGAAATCAAGAAAATAAAACCCCACGAAATACTCTTAGCCAAAATCGCACAATTAAATAGCTGTGAAATTAAATACCAATGAAGTACTATAAGTAAAAATCTGCTACTTGTATACTGATAAATAACGTTTCGGAGACATCTAGCCTACTTACAACTAGTGGAGGGTTGTACAGTTTTAAATTATTTATGCAATATTTTGTGTTGTTTTAATGTTTAATTGCATAAGCATGCATGCAGCTAAAAATAGTATACAGAGATGTGTTAGAATACCTCCCCAGTGATCCTCATCCAGTATCCATTTACAGTACTCAGTGTTTTCTTGACCCAGAAAAACAGAATTGTACAATTGAGGATCACTTGAAACACACTTTGCTATCAGCTGTCTTAGCTCTGAGGCAAATGATGTCACACCAAGCATAACATAGCTAAAAGAAAATAGCATAAAGGTGTTGCTATGGAAATACAGTACTCCGCTATTTTAACCATTTCATGGTATCAAAGTTCTGCGCAATTTTCTTTGCATTTTTTGAAAAATTAACAATTCTGTGGAAACTGCAGTCATTCATGATTGAAGTTCAGAGTCAAAGTAGGAAATCAGTTATCTTTACATTTTAGGGCTTTAAGCTTGAATTAATTCTGAAAGTGCAGTTAAACAAACATAGCACTGTACCTTTCTTACCTAACACTTGCAAAAAGGCAGGAATTATCAGCTGGAACAACTCTATGTATGAAGGAAAAAAAGAACAATTAAACAGTACAACAAACAGACCATATATTGTACAAGTATGTGATGAAGGCAGAGTGCGGTTGAGTGGATACTTAGCAGAAATCTCAAGTTCAAATCCTCAGCCAGCCTGGTAAATAATCAACTGGTTTCCTACCTTTCAAAAAGAATGCTTATAGTATACCTGTTACGTTCCATTTAATACACAGTTTTAATCATTTGCTCCCCCAACCCCCAAAATATTATTTCACATTACCTAATTTCACAAAATAATTTCATACAAATTTTTGATAGCAGAAACAGTTCCAGTTATGTTAATTAAATTTTTGGATGCTTATTAATTTTGACCCACTTATGCTACTGAACAACACTGAACCTCCCTGCACTCAGCCATCTTGACTAGTTCCTTGTGATGTGCCCTAAATACTGTTGTGAACTGCAAATTATGATGGAAGTTCACAAAATGGATATAATAAAATAATAATTACTTTCTTGACATTTTTCCAAGTGCTGCACTGCTTAAAGATTTCTTGTAACCATCCAGTAATGGTTTTGGAGCATTTTTGTCCTCCTCAATTATTAACCTATCTCCAGATCTGACATCCACAGATGATATTACATCATCTTTATTCTTCCACATAAGCTGTTTTGGTGGAAATCCTGAAAGAACTATTTAAAACAGACAAGAAATGTAATTTATATATGACCAGCTGCTTTGTTTTGCCCTCTTAATGGTGGCAATAATTTTTGGTTTGATTTACATTTCGGAATTGTGCCTGTTGATAGGTGTTGATGGTAAAATTGCAAGTACCATGATTACTTGCGGGCTCATAAAGGATGCCGATGTGTTGCATACTTTGACTCTCTGAGTATTTATTGTTTCCACGATACAAAGATAATTTAACTTGAGCAAATCTATACTTTTTTATTCTGACGAGATGATCACGAGATGCTTAAATTGCACTACCCTGCCTATTTGGATCCAGGTGTGTAAGCTATGATAAAATATTCAAGCCTTTGTGATGTGGATTGAATTGTCTGAATTTGTGGTTAAATGTGTCCCATGTCAACTTTTTAAAGAAACTCATTACTTCTTTGCGCATGAGGTGGAACATCAGTCATCAGCCAGATCTTTTCTTGAAGGTCAGCAATGGTGGATGTTGTCAGCAATCCTTCAAGAATGTTTCTTCTCCCTCCTTTGTACTGACATCTCAATACCTTCAGGTTATAAAAAAGGTATGATATAAAAATTAATATGCATAAACTACAATAACAATAAAAATAATAACAATAATAACATACACTTCACAATATTGGTTGCCAACAAATAATAAGTAGGTCAACCCAATTCTATATCAGAGTCAACTATTAAGGCAGATTGAAATCAAGAGTTCATCTTCATGATTCAGCAATGATTTCCAAGTTAGTTCCCTTATGTTCTTTGCCCTCTTAACCTCATGTTTATTTGGACCCTTTTTCTTGCTTCTGGCTCAGTAGAGAATCACTGGAATGAATTCAGAAGTTGCAAACATCCATCCTGTAGCAAGTCTAAAACTGGTTTAGGAACTTGTGACTTTAATAGTGTTGTCTGTTTGCTTATTTATTTCTTTGTTGCGTTTTGAACAATTTTAAAAACTTGGGTATTATAATGACATGCAGAAAATTATACAGACTGGGTCCCAGCAAACTACAGATTAGGCTCTTATCGTGGATTTGCAAAATAATTTGGCTGTTTAGTTTAGTGAGGTACTGTAGAGCTCTGCAGTACCGACCAGCCATATAAACTATAACAGATGACCCTTATACCGAGTCAACTGCGCCGAGGAATCACTTTGTATTAATTGTATATCAATTGAATTCGATTTTTTGAAAAATTCTTGTCAGTGCAATTAACAAAATAAGGAAATAATTCCCAACGAACTGCCTAAATAGTATGAAATTATTTTACGCGTAAAATCGTAGCCAAAAACTTGCCGGGAAAAACAACTCACCAGAGACGCCATCTTGAAACGTCGGTCAAAAAAGGACTGGAACCGAAAAAATGCGCGCGGGCGCCTTTGGGTGCTCAATCCCACCACCCCTACCCCCTGCTTCCCTGCACAACTTTTGTTTACAATGCAAAGCAGTTGTCTTTCCTTTCTGAATGATTCAGGTTACGAAAACTACCGTAAAATTCCGAAAATAAGCCCCGGGGCTTATATTTTTCAAAGGCCCTTTTTGAAGGGGCTTATTCGGAGGGGCTTATCTAACGACGGAAATTTGCGTTTCACGATCGATAGGGCTAGCCTTACAGTTGGAAGTAAATTTATTGTTTTTCCTTTGTTTTACTTTGTATTTGAGGGCAATTTTCCGAGTACAAGTCCTCGGGGGGCTTATATTTGGAGGGGCGATTTAACGGAGGGTTTTTTGCGTTACCGGTTTGGAGGGCTTATATTTGGAGGGGCTTATACATGGAGGGGCTTATTTTCGGAATTTTACGGTAACCAGTCCAACTAGGAAAGGGGAGGAAATATTTTGGTCGGCCGAAGATGTGTCAGCCTGTGGCTGACATACACCGAAGCATCCAGCCGCACCCGAGCAAAAACCTCTCAACAAGAATATCAAGAATTCCAAGTTTATGACAAGTCAGAAAAATGAAATAATAAAGGATCTTCTTGTCACTTGTCGGTTATATAAGATTGCCCTATGTGACAGGAAGTGGACCTGCCCCTATGTGACTATTGGTTTATTGTCACGTGTCTTTAGGAAGGACTGAACAAGACTGCCTGAGACATCGACAAAAATACTCTGGTTTGTTCCCCGTTAATCCTAACACGGGAGTGGATTACTTCTAAAAATCACGAATTGAAGTAGCCGAAATAACTGGTAAGCTCCTCTGTAAGTTACTTTTTAGGAGTTTGAAATCATTTGTGCTTTGGCTCTGTGAAAGTCACCCATATGCAATATATCAAAGGATATTGAATCCAGAAATTAGTCATTTGAATAAGGAGTCAAAACAGCAAAGGGGAGTTTTGGTTTTTTACAGCAAATTAAGTTAGCTCTGTTGTTGTAAATGGGAACATATTCCTTTGGCATGCAGTAATTGAAATCGAAATATTACTTCAGTTTCACATCGTGACGCACGTCGACTGGTACATCGCGTGACTGTGTCGCGTGCACGTCATGTGATAAGGATTTCCAAGAGTCCGCGCTGCTTACGATGTCACGCGAAAGTTGCGATCGGGCGGGGTTTTGTTATTTGGGTCTTGACAGAATAAATTTTATAGCGATTTTACTTACAGTTGTGTTTGGGTGGCTGTCAATTTTGTTCGTTTTTTTCCTCTTTAGTAAATTCTTTTTTCCTCTACTTCTTTGCTACTCATTTTCCCTTTTTTTGTTTTTGTTTTTCCATTTCCAATATTATGTTTTCAGTACAGCGTCTTCGCTTCTGTTAATCACTACGTTACTCGTTTATTTATATGGATTAAAAGTCCCTACATAGTACTTGAACAACTTTTTTCTTTATTGCATCAAACATTTGTCGAGAGGTGAAAGTGGCGTTCGCTTCACCATTCAAAGAAAAAGATCACAAAACTCACAGTTTTCTGACTCGCTTACCACATTGTCACCAGTCGCTTGTTTCGATTACCATTTTTATAAATTTTACTTGTTTTTTGAAACGTTCTTTTTGTAGTTTAAAGAGTACTGAAATGGCCCAATTAACAGTCAAACTGGCCTTCTCAACCTTGCTAGGCATTCTGGGTTGGCACGGTGTATTTTTGCTGTTTCTAATAATCGCACTCAAGCTTTTCCTTTGGGAGCCTTATCAGGAACACAACAGTTCATGCCCTTGTACCTGGAATGTGGCTTATGGTACCATTATGTTCCTATTTCCTTCTCTAACCTCCTACACAATCGCAGTCTTTGCTTACTTTCGACAAGATAGTAACAGCGCTCCTTGGAAGGTTTTGAAGAAATTCTACGTTATCAAATACTCCTGTCCTTATTATGATGAGCGAACTGAGTGGGATTTTCACGCTGATCACTGCATTAAATGCCGACAGCTGAGGCGCGATTGGTCTTTGGTGAAGATCGCTGTGTCAGCAGTTTTTTCTCTTCTCTATCCATTGGTCTGGCTTTCACTAAGCTTTCTTCAAACAGCTTACTACGTTTGCGCTCATGTTGGTCCACCGGGCGACATCCTACAAAATGTTTGCGATGTGACCATCCTAAAGCCAGACGACTATAGGATGGCCTACGGTTTGGCGGCGATTCGTTCGAAGACCATTGGTAGCATTCTCTTTGTGTGCACACTATTTTTTGTAGGGGTTTTCGTGATACTCTATGGTGAAATGAAAAGTTATTTGTCCAAAAAGTTTGACTGGGATCCAAGTGGAAAAGGTGCATCGAACAATCTACAAGTTCAGGTTTCCATTCAACCAGGCCGTACATCCGGGTCTGCTGAAACGGCTAGTCTCCATAGCAACAGGGATACACCTGTTGCAATGGACTCCGCAGCTGCAGAGAACGGAAGGCTGGTACGTATATCACGTGGATTTAAATTGATTACTAGGAGCAGAAATAAAATATTACGACGAGTAATACCTTTCCAAGGAAGGATTATTCTCTCTTGGTCGTCCACTTTTATGAAGTGGAAAAATGTTCCTACATGCCATAGTTTTGTCGATATTGCGAAAATGTACAAAATATACAACCAAGCAAACAAATTAGCACCTAAATTGAATAGCTTAAAAATTACTAACACTATTTCTCATTGTCATTTTAGTCTCCGCCAGCAGTGAACTGCGGCAACCGAGCGATAACTATCAATTTGAGCAATGTGTTTGCTGAAACACTTCAAGGCTGTCTTCAAGACGGTGCATGGCAAGGAATCGACATATGCTGTACGCAACAGGAAGAGAGCGGAAGCCGACATGGATCTTACACACCGTTCCGCCAGCTTCCTCGCTCTGCACGGATACAGCAGCAACAAGCGGGACAACCTGGTTATGAATCATTACCCTCTGTGACGTAGAAAAGCTAAA